AAATTTTTTAAAAAAAAAAAAAAGGGGAAAAAGAAAAAAAAAAAAAAAAAAAAAAAAAAAAAAAAATATATATATATATATATATACAGTATATACTGTATGTACTATGATGGTTTAACACTTACCCACTGCCCCATCAGGCGGGGCGATCTTCATGGGGTAGGGGGGCACGTGAGCCGTGTCGGGACCGCCGTCTTTACAGGGGCAGGTGAAGGGGATTCGCTCCTGGTTGCAGGCGAACTTGATGAACTTGCTGAGCTCCTCCTGCGTGAACATCTCGAGCGCGGCCCAGAAGAACTCAATGTGCTGGTCCGTCTCCATCAGTCCCACCTGATACATGGTGTGAGCCTGGATGGAGGCGATCAGGAGAACGGGCTCGGTTAGTTAACTAGTCGCAGGTGCTGTTTGTGCACCTGACAGCCGTGTAATAAGTGGCATAACGTACAGTCAGTCATTAAACACCTTCAGAGTGACACAAAACTCCTTGGTGTGAGGGACGTGATGGGTAAATAAAAAAAAATTACCACTAAATGATCAACAAAGAGAAACTGATCACAGTATTAGTGCAGCAAAGGTGTTCGCTCAAAGTACCGACTGAATGAACAAAATGAAAATGTATTGTAATTTAAATTTACATTAAATGAAATTGGCTGAACTTTTGGAGAGGGAGATTTGGAAAAAACAAATTTTTTTTCAAAAATTTTAAAAATGTGCTGTTCATATACTCACCCGCAGGCTGTCCAAGACGTAGGTGACTTATATCTTTGGTCGAATTTTGGTAATTCATAAAATGCAAGTCAATGGCCACCGTCACAAAAAAAGCATATCAAGTGACACACAATTAATACCCGTGACTCCTGACGTTATACTGAGGTCTTATGAAGCGAAACGATCAGTCTGTGCAAGAAACTGAACATTATTTACAACATTATTACCGGTAATCCAGAGCCTCAGGCAAACGGGGAAATCTGATTCTTTTCAGCAGTTCTTTCGGATAGTTCGTTTCAATTAACGGATTCAAATAACAACTCACCAGTTCGTTTATGTAAACACGCAATCACGTAACATATACGCAATTATTAAAGTATCCAATATTGATGTGAAATGTGGATGTTTTACATGTCTAAAGCATATAAACTTGCTCATTTTTTTTTTACATAAATATGATCAATTATCAACAATATCAGCGGCTCATCGGTCCTCAGTTCAGTGACTGCTGGAGGAACTGGAGCGCTGAATCAGTTCATTCATCTGAGGATCAGATACGACGGCATAACGGCTCGTTTTGAGTCGGAGTGACTGTCAGGCGTCCGAAAGTGAGTTTTGACTGAGTAGAGCTGTGCTGCTCGAGCCGCAAACAGTTTCAGACGCTTCAGTGCGATTTGATGGTGCATCCTGTTCACTAAAAAGAACCGGTTCAAAAGAATGATTCGTTCGTGAACCGGACAACACTGTTTGCCTGAGGCTCTGGATTACCGGTAATAATGTTGTAAATAATGTTCAGTTTCTTGCACAGACTGATCGTTTCGCTTCATAAGACCTCAGTATAACGTCAGGAGTCACGGGTATTAATCCCACAAGTGTATTAACGGGATAAATGCAGAAACGATGATCCTGGAATGATAAAAGTATTAACATAATAAAATAATCACATTCTGCTTCAAGAAAACGGAGGCTATTCGCTGTATAATATTAATTGTAGTTTACATTCTCAAACTTCTTGATGTGGTTGTATGTGAGCAGGTCGGCTTCTCGAAAGTCAGATTCTGGGTCGAGCGCTTCACCGACCAGACCCTTCCAGAAGGATCCGAGCAGATCCAAAGGCAGAGGCACGTCTGCCCTGATGGCGATCCCCAGCAGCTGGCCGAAGAAGTTCAGCAGCTGCTCTTCTGCGTAAGTGATGGGGCACGGCGTCACAATGTACTTCCCCTGCGACACACACACACACACACGAGTCAAGCTGAGAGCATGTGCTATCATCCTGTAGCACATAAAGGAAGGAGGAAAAATGCTGTGAAATCCAGCAGAACAAACATGCAAGGTGCACCTTATTGCGATTTGCCGCAGCGCTGGGACACGGGAGGAGAAGAGAGAGCGCCGAACTCTGCAGCTCCTTACAGACTTGCCACAAGAAATGCCTGAATGAGCCGCCTGAGAAAACACACGACATATTTCAGAAGCACATACACTGGATTCATGCCATTGCTATTATTAACTAAAACTATTTCTTGTTAATGGAAATAAAATAGAATATAAATACTAGATGAAAAAAGGAAATTATACATTTTACAGCTACTATATAAAATAAGTTCAACTTGAAGTACTAAAATAATGAAAACTCCAATAAAAATAAGGCTAAAAATAAATATATATATATACACACACACTGTATATACATACATAAAAACCACCAATAAAAATTACAAAAGCACGCAACAAAATCACTAAAACTTTCAGATTAAAACTAGTTATTTCAAAATATTAATAAATACTATAAGAGTATATAAATAATACTGAATGGGTGGCAAAACAGGTGCATCATGGCTTACTACACTATAAGCAACAGAGTTTATAAATAGAAAATCTAACTATAAAACTCATTAATTTATAATTTAAAGATATACTTTTTTTGCTAGCAAATGAAACAATGAAATTAATGATTGAACAATCTGTGACCGCATCAAATTTTTTAACAGAAAAATGCATACTAAATACAATAAAAAAGGTTGCATATAGTAAACGTAACATTAGTAGTGTTGCTCCTATTAGTTTACCTGTCAAATAGTGCTGTTATTGTTAATTAAAACTAACTGAAATAAAATAAAATATAAATATTAAATGAAATAAATATAAATGAAAAATTAAATGAAAATTAGAAATTGATAAACTGAATAACTGAAATAAAATACACTGAAGTACTAAAATGACAAACTAAAAATAAATAAAATTAATCAAAATAGAAATACAAAAAAAAAAGAAAAGACAAAATTTTTAAAACTTGCTAAAATGTAGGCAACTTTCTCCCTAACCAGTGTTATAGCTATTATATTTGTTAATGTTACCGTAACTAAATTAAAAATCATTTTGTTAACTGAAATGAAGCTGAAATAAAATATAAATATTAGATGTAAAACTTATAAAAAAAAATAAAATAATAAAAATAAAAAATAATGAATGTTGAAATAAAATGAAATAAAAAAAGTTGAAGTTATAAAATAAAATAAAAGTTGAAGTGACTAAAATAGAAATAATAATAATAATAAAGATAAATAGAACCCCCCCCCCCCCCAAATGACAAAATTCATAAAAAAATTAACTAAAACGGAAAATATAAAACAATTGCTAACACACATGCTAAGATACACCCATGAACTCACATATGCAGACTCAAAAGAGCTTTTCAGTAAAAGGCAATTGTTAGAAAACACTCTCTGTTTTGAGAATGCCTCCCCCCTCCTTTCTCACTCTTTCTCTCTCATTCTCTTGATCACCCCTCCTCTATCTGTTCTCTCTCTCTCTTGTATGGTGTTTGAATGTCTCTTACTCAATATTCAAGGTAAAGGAGTTTGTGCTGATTTATAAGGGGGGTTCAGCCTCTGTCGCCAGGAAGTCTATTACTTATATGGATATGTTTTTCTGTATATGTGGCGATTTTATACAAAACACATGTTCTTGGGAAAAACATCCTGTATGGGTATGTCCCCCTATCCTCATTGGTTAAGAGGGTAAAAACTCCCCTCGACATGCCTATATAAGATCTGTATTTCTGTGAATAAATTGAAGTATTTGAGAATACATTTGAATGTGTGTTTTCTTACTTCCCGGCCGTATTTATTTACACTTGGAGAGACTGAGAAGATTTCACGGTGGCAAAGAGATATCGAGGGACCAAATTGTTATTTATTAACAATACTATATAATAATAGGATGAATGCATCACAGAAGGAGCAGCTGTTATGTTGGAAGTGTAGTGTTTAGTGCATGAAAGCGGTGCGTGACACTGACTGGTGCCGTGGACCTCCTCCCCGGTGAAGCGGATGTTGAAGGCGTAGGTGGGGTCTCCTCCGCTGGCGATCCGCACACACAGCTGAGACGACGGGACGCAGGACAGCTGACGCGCCGCCTGGCAGAAGTACGTGTTCTCTGCTGCACGCGTCTCTCCTGCAGCACACACGGTAAGCATGAGGAACTGATATAGTACAGACCCTCGTCTGAGTGAGTGACACCTCATTGGTTTACCTCCCACTATCTCCAGCGGGTCGAGCGTGACCTCAGGCGCGGCGTGATCCGCTGTGCGCTGGACGCTTGCGTTCAGCACCCGGTTCATAAAAGTCACTTTGGTGTCGTAAAAAATCAGGCCTGCAAATGAGATCAAGAGAAAACTGTAGTGTTATTTGATATTACATTTAAAGTTAATATATTTAAAATTTTCAATGTTATTAATGTGTAATTACAAATACATGACATACACGATTCAATAGAAACGACATTAAAGTATATTTTAGTTTATCATAAACGCCTGTCAGTACATTCAGCAGCACTTTAACCATATTTCAAAGACAACAGAAGTAATTATGAATACATAAAAAGATGTACTTAAGTCAATTTCAGCTAATTGCATTTAATATAAATTTAAAGAACAATACCTTTTAATTTAATTGCAATGAACATGCAATTAAGTGTCTGAAATCATTACATTGTTCACACTTAAGTATATTCTTTTAAAGTAGTATACTATTTCTGTAATACTCTTTTTAAACGTTTACTTATTTTCACAAAGGGAATATATTACATTTTTTGTCAATTTCATTGTAAAAATTATTTCAGAATACAAAATACCCTACATATATGAAATAAAGGAGCACTTTAAGGGGTAATTTAGTAAAGCGATGGCATCAGATGGTAAAACCATGGTAATTTAATAATATACTGGGGTGCTTTAACATTGAACATTCGCAAAGACGGTTCTCCAAAGCACTTAATTGAATGCTATGATATTACTACGGTATTAGAGCATGTAAAATGCCACACAAGGACTTCCACGAACATTTTCGAGTTACACAAATAAACGGATAATTAAGTGTCTGAAATCATTACATTCAGTTCACACTTAAGTATATTCTTTTAAAGTAGTATACTATTTCTGTAATACTCTTTTTAAACGTTTACTTATTTTCACAAAGGGAATATATTACATTTTTTGTCAATTTCATTGTAAAAATTATTTCAGAATTACAAAATACCCTACATATATGAAATAAAGGAGCACTTTAAGGGGTAATTTAGTAAAGCGATGGCATCAGATGGTAAAACCATGGTAATTTAATAATATACTGGGGTGCTTTAACATTGAACATTCGCAAAGACGGTTCTCCAAAGCACTTAATTGAATGCTATGATATTACTACGGTATTAGAGCATGTAAAATGCCACACAAGGACTTCCACGAACATTTTCGAGTTACACAAATAAACGGAAAGCTTGGGAAACTTAATGGCCAAATAAAAAAAGCGCTTTAAAATCATTACAACATACACAATGCTGCTTCATTTCATACTGCCAAGAAAATAATACTGATCACAAATATTACATATATAGAAAATAATCGATATATTCCACAGCCTATCCAAAAAAACATGGTACTTTTTAGTAGTCTTCTATATAGCTACTAAAGGAACAATCCTGACCAAGACCAGTGTGTCTGTTCATGCGATGACTGACCTTTGGCTTCGCACAGAAGCGTCGCGATGCTGTTTTGATAGGTTTGTGTCAGCCTCAGCTCGACTAACGGAAGGAAGAAGCTCTCCAGCGTGCTGTTGAGCGACTGCAGCAAAGCAAACCGCAGACGCAAACTCTCCACTGGAACGCCTGTGTGATCAGAGTTACCTTCAGTGCACACTGGGGTTAAAAACTTGGTGGCTGTACATCTCATAATTATGGAAGCCTGTTTCCGCCACTGAATAAAAAATAAAACAAGCTAATTTCGACTTTTTGTCTCACAATTCGGACTTTTTTTTTTTTGCAATTGCGAGTTATAAAGTCAGAATTGCGAGAAAAAAGGAAAGTCAGAATTGCGAGAAAAAAGGAAAGTCAGAATTGCGAGAAAAAAATTAATTCAGAATTGCGAGATATAAACTCGCAATTGCGAGAAAAGAAAGAAAGTCAGAATTGCGAGATATAAACTCACAATTGCGAGAAAAAAAGAAAGTCAGAATTGCGAGATATAAACTCACAATTGCGAGAAAAAAAAAAAAGTCAGAATTGCGAGATATAAACTCACGTTAAAAACTTGGTGGCTTTACATCTCATAATTATGGAAGCCTGTTTCCGCCACTGAATAAAAAATAAAACAAGCTAATTTCGACTTTTTGTCTCACAATTCGGACTTTTTTTTTTTTGCAATTGCGAGTTATAAAGTCAGAATTGCGAGAAAAAAGGAAAGTCAGAATTGCGAGAAAAAAATAAATTCAGAATTGTGAGATATAAACTCGCAATTGCGAGAAAAAAAGAAATTCAGAACTGCGAGATATAAACACAATTTCGAGAAAATAAAGAAAGTCAGAATTGCGAGATATAAACACAATTGCGAGAAAATAAGAAATTCAGAACTGCGAGATATAAACTCACAATTGCGAGAAAAAAAGAAAGTCAGAATTGCGAGATATAAACTCACATTTGCGAGAAAAAAAGAAATTCAGAACTGCGAGATATAAACTCGCATTTGCGAGAAAAAAAAGAAAGTCAGAATTGCGAGATATAAACTCACAATTGCGAGAAAATAAGAAATTCAGAACTGCGAGATATAAACACAATTTCGAGAAAAAAAAGAAAGTCAGAATTGCGAGATATAAACACAATTGCGAGAAAATAAGAAATTCAGAACTGCGAGATATAAACTCACAATTGCGAGAAAAAAAGAAAGTCAGAACTGCGAGATATAAACAAAATTGCGAGAAAAAAAGAAAGTCAGAATTGTGAGATATAAACTCACAATTGCGAGAAAACAAGAAATTCAGAACTGCGAGATATAAACTCGCAATTGCGAGAAAAAAAAGAAAGTCAGAATTGCGAGATATAAACTCACAATTGCGAGAAAAAAAGAAAGTCAGAATTGCGAGATATAAACTCGCAATTGCGAGAAAAAAAAGAAAGTCCGAATTGTGAGATATAAACTCACAATTGCGAGAAAAAAAAAGAAAGTCAGAATTGTGAGATATAAACTCACAATAGCGAGAAAATAAGAAATTCAGAACTGCGAGATATAAACTCGCAATTGCGAGAAAAAAAGTCAGAATTGCGAGATATAAACTCGCAATTGCGAGAAAAAAAGTCAGAATTGCGAGATATAAACTCGCAATTGCGAGAAAAAAAGAAAGTCAGAATTGCGATACAAAGTCACAATTACCTTTTTATTTTTTTATTTAGTGGCGGAAACGGGCTTCCATACATAATCCAAATCTAACAGCATAACGTAACATGGACTCGCCTATTAAGCATGCGACTTGGGGGTCGGCGGTGTCCTTGGCGTCGAGGTAAACTTCATGTGGATGCAAGCGTGCAGGAGTGATGGCCAGGTGTCGGCACAGACGGTTAACAAACTGGACCAGCGCAAAGTCCATCTCAAAGGTCCATTTTCTACTGGTTTTCTGAGCATGTCGGGAGTCGATGCACGTGCATCTGAAACAAAAAAAACACCATTAAGATCTTCAGAGAGTTGCATTCATTATTCTAGCCATTAGTTTTCTTAGACAGTAGAACAAGAGAGACGTGGAAACATGAAGTAGTACGGACGGAGGTTTGGTCTTGGGAAGGTACAAACCTTTCAAAGTGCAGGTCGTAACCGCACGCCAGGATCGCCCGCCAAACACTGCGAATATCCTGCTTGGCTCTGTCTAGAGTAAACTTGTGGAAACCTTCCAGGGTCAGAAACTTCTCTTCTGGCACTGATGGACAGAGGAAAGGTGAGGTGTTCAGATCCATGAGATTCCACCGAAACAGACCATTTTTGTTAATAAATTCAGAAATCAAGAATGATGTTATATTAACCTTCAAGCTTTTTGGCGGGAGACTTTTCAGGGTCTTTTTCATCGGGCTTGGTCTTCTCAGGAGATTTTGACTTAAGGACTGCTTTTTTCTCACTAAGTACAGTTCTGGAAAAACGCCATTTACCATACCATTTATTATAGTCACCTAAAACTAAAACTAAAAAAATTATTTTTGTTACTTAAGGAATAAAAAAAAAAACTTGCCAATGCAGCATTACTAATATATATATATTTTTATTCAATTTATAATAAAAAAATGTTTTTATAAAAATGGCAAAATCATGATTATTAAAGCTTTTTATTAAAATAAATAAATAAAAATTAGAATGCATTTTATGGTAAGGGATGCCTGTGTTCAATTAAATATTTAAATATCAATAGAGGAAACTGACTACTGAGCGTGATGTCAGTACTCACCTAACACTGTTCAGCATGGACTTCTCTTTGGCCGGGGGTTTGGTGATGGGTCTTTTTGTGCTGACCACTTTGCCTTGGTGCTGCTCTTTGCCTGCCTTGCTGTGCTTGTTCTTGTTGGGCTTTACTGTGCCATATTTACGAAGAATCTACATGCACAATAAGCAAAGTTTAGTAATTTAAGCCTTGACCCAGTCAAATACTTCGTGTCTGTTCAACTGTGCCTTAAAACTGACGCTAACAAAAAACTAACTAACAGAAAAAGTTAATAGTATAGTAACACATGTGTGGATTACAAGTAGATATGTAAATTTTTATAACAATAATCAATTATCATTTTGCAAAATGCATGTGGAAGACTCAAAATGACCATGTGCATGTAGTGGATTTTTCTTTTTTATAATAATAAAAAATAAAATCAACTATTAATACATATGTTTCATGATAAATTAGCCATTTAATAATAATAATAAATGAATTACAGTTCTGAGGATTTCACCTGAGTGAGCTGGTCATCAAGCACCTTCTTGGGAGGCCGCACATGTGTAAAAAACAGGTGGAGCAGGTTTCCTGGTGTCTGAGAGTTCATCTGCTCTTTGCTCAGATAAATGTCCGATACTTTCACTGGTTTTGTTGGTACGGAGCTCAGCACCTGCTCTGCGTATACACAGCTCTTAAAGATGTCTGTCAGCACATCACGTGCTTCAGGAACCAATTTATCTCCTACAAGAACAAAACATAATTAAACCTGATTTCAAGTTATTAAGGAAAACCCTTGCAAGAAGAATTACAGAATAAAATACCATATTTGTAACATTCTGGGATAAAGAAATCAACGAACCTCTGATCGATTTGTCAAGGAAGTACTCCTCCAGGGCAGAACTCCCTTGTGTGTCAAACAAACTCTGATTTACACTGGAGGCGGTGAGGATCTCCTCATTGGTCATCTCCATTAGCTCCTCCTCTCTTTCCAGATTGGAAAGGCCAATGAGATCACTGCTGTTAAAAAGACTGGCTCGAATCTTCTCTACTTGGGCCCGGGCCCTTACCTATAAGACAAGAGCAAAAAAACATAACATTATTAGGTACCTAATTTCTTTCACAAAATGGTTAGTGCTACTAGTGTTGCTAAGGTGCTCTGAGTGGTTGCTAACGTGTTGCTATGCAGTTGTTAGGGTGCTCTAGATGCGTTTGATCATTGTCTGAAAATCTGATGTGATGAACGCAGTAGGAAGAGTTTGTAAAAGTTTTAACCAAAGGAATCAAAAAAGTTCTAAGCATATTTAAATAATGTGTTATATTTTGTACCACTAGGTGGCAAGCACTGGCATTCTCAGCGCTGTCAAAATAAAAGTCCCCCTGCTGACGCTTATCAGCCCACCAAAAAAACGTAATAACCCATGCTGATTATTAAAAAAGGCCAAATATCGGCTGATATATCAGCCCTGGCAAAAACTAATCGGCCGATACCGATAATTAAAAATTAATTTGGCCTTGCAAAATAACAGTCAATCAATACTGGATATCATTGTCATGTCTCATGCATGTCTCATGTCTCATGCAATCCAAAGTAGAAGTCAAACGAAATAGGCAAAAAATATAAATAAAAAAAGACAGATGTTGAGAATTAAAAAAAAAAAAAAAAGGTCAAATATCGGCCGATATATCGGCTTTGGCAAAAACGTAACCGATACTGATAATTTAAAAAAGGCTAAATATCAGCCGATATATCCGCCTTGGCAAAAACTTAATGGCCAATACTGATAATTAAAAAATGCCAAATATCAGCCGATATATTGGCCTTGCAATATAACAGTCGATCAATACACATGCACAGGAACCATGCATTTTCTTTTTTCCATACTTTTCCGTAAAATAAAAATTGTCAAACATCTTGAGTTATTATGCAATGAAACCAAAGTAAAAATAAAAGAAAAAAAGAAAAAAAAAAAAAAAAAAAAAAACAGATTGTTAGAAATAAAAAAAAAAAAAAAAGGTCAAATATCGGCCGATATATCGGCTTTGGCAAAAACGTAACTGATACTGATAATTTAAAAAAGGCTAAATATCAGCCGATATATCCGCCTTGGCAAAAACTTAATGGCCAATACTGATAATTAAAAAATGCCAAATATCAGCCGATATATTGGCCTTGCAATATAACAGTCGATCAATACACATGCACAGGAACCATGCATTTTCTTTTTTCCATACTTTTCCGTAAAATAAAAATTGTCAAACATCTTGAGTTATTATGTGCTCATTTGCAAAAGCAATTTAAGTAAAAAAAATTAATTAAATTAATTTGAAACATGAGCATGGTATATCATACCAATAAAAACAACTCTAATTTAACTCTACATATGAACAATAGTAATAAAGATGCTTGTAAACACCACTCATATTATATTACTGTTGTCTTTCCCGCCTACCTCTATGACAGCATAGCCTTTGATTGGTCGTGCCACACTGGCATGGATGTCTGGTGAGGCAACTGTGTACATGGAGCTCCCATCTGAGACTGACGTCGCACCACTATCCAACTGCTCCCCAATGCTGCCGAGACTACCTTGACTTCCTGTGCTACAAAGAGACACATCCAGACTCTCCTGACTGGAGACCGTGTGGGGATCCAGTGATGCATGTGGCAGGGAAGGTGCTGTTTGAGGGGTTACCAGCTCTTGGTTCACTAGCAGCCCACCGGCAGCCCTGGAAGCTCCCTGTAAAGAGCCGGAGATCGACGTCTGGCTCGCTGAAGCTGAGGCACTCATTGCTGGCGTTGCGCTGTTGCTATTTGGGCTTCCTGCAGTGCAATCTCGCTTTGCATCTTGGGAAATACCTGAAGTTTCAGCTTTGGCTTTTTTAGGGTCCTCCTCCTGAACCGGAATAAAGATCTCATCCTTGAAGAGACCGCCGTGCGCGTTGCAAGCCCTTCGGATTGCATTGCGCACCACGGATTCCTCCAAGTGAGTGGGGATTCCTGAGAGCACGAGCAAACGACTGTGAGTGGTGGAGCCAACCAAGGCTTGGCAAGCATCTGCAACCGCATCTTCAGTGACGCCCAGACCTTGCGGGTCCTTTTTAGCAAGGTGCCGCAAAATCAAGAGTAACGTCAACCCACGGTGAAACCACAACATGTCCTCTGGCTTCCCTCCGGCCATGTTTAGTAAAGCACTGTCACATTCTGATGGTCTCGCTCCACTTCCAGAACCATGTTTTCCTGAGACGGCAGCTGCCGAAGTAACAGCGACCACTGCCCGTTCACGCTTTAGCTTCACCTTTTTGCGCTTCGAAAGCAAGCTTGGACTTTGAGGCGTCTGGCCCGGAGAGGACGACGAAGAGGACGAGGAATCGCTACAGTTAGCGGTGCTCGTGGACGAAGGGGTGCCTACCGCCGAAATCCCTGTACCTGTACTGAGCGGCAGAGTCACTTCGGCGACTGCTAGACACACCTCCATCAGGGCATGGAAGTAGGTCGAGAAGCGGCTCCGCTCGGTGACGAGTGCAAGCGCTCCACTGCTACCTGCTGCGGAAGTGCAGGAACCTCCGCTAACTAGCCCCCAACTTTGGGTCTCGTGGTCGTAAAGTTTTCGTAGCTCGGATTGAAGAACCATAAGGACTGTTAGGCAAGGGTTGAGAAGCAATGTAATGTGGCTAGACAGACCCGAGGGGGTTTTGCGACGCTCGAAGGCATGGATCTTGCGGAGAAGCTCCGCAAGCAAGTGGAAGATCAGCTCCTTGATGCATGGCGCAAGATCGGTGGTCCACAGAAGCCCACCTAAAGACAGACACAGCAAATGTGACCCTGAAAAATGGAACTGCACTGGAAGTTTTAGTAGTATGCTTCATGGGACCCTCGGGGCAAAATACATTTCTTACCCAGCAAATCTACAACCTGCATAAGCACAGAAGTGGGCACAGTGTCCAGCTCATCCTCAGAGCGGTCAATGGTTTCCCCTATGGTGTACGTTAGCAGCTGTTCAGCAAAGGCCATGGCCAAGGGAAACTCAAGAGGCAACGAGTGCAATACCAGCACTGCACCAGGAGGGGGAGATACACCTGCAGACAGTGACCAGAATATGAGTTAAATATGCCATGAAAAGGAAAATCACCCTCTATTTTCTAAGTGTATCTTATTGATCATATGCTGTGGTCACACTAGATTTTGAGCATGCAGCCTACCCTTGTGAAAAGGAAGTACACTTTAGCATACTTCCAAAAAGAGTACTTATTACGGAAATAATATATTTGAAAAGAAAATACTTAAGTGCCAACTGAATGTTAATTGCAAATAAATGAAAATAGTTTTTAAGTTTCTGTTAAATGCAATTAGCTGAACTTAGGACTGCTTTTTTGATGTACTTAAGTAGGACTCAAGTACATCTTTATTCTATTGTCTTTGAAATATGAAACAATAATTTACAGGAAACTTAAATATGGTTTAATGTAACTTCTACTGAAACATATAAGTCATGTATTTAAATATATTTGTAACTACACATTTATAACAATGAAGTTGCAATTTAATGCATTTAAAATATATTAACCTTAAATGTAATCTTTAAAAAATATTATCAAGTACATGTGCTTCATTATGTTAGTCATAACATCAAAATAAGTGCACTTCTTTAAAGTATGACTAAAGATTTTTAAAACAATTTCAAAAGTACTTCAAAGTAAAACTTTTAATTTGAGATTATTACAAAGCGTGCTTTTTAAAAGTGTACTTAAGTGTGTTAAGAAAAAGTCATGAAAGTGTCTCACTTTAAGTCACTTAAGTGGCCTTTTATTTTATATTATCAGTAAATACAGCTTTTTAAAAATACAGTAATAAGATTTGAAATACACTACAAGTGTGCATTCAATACAATTAAGCACACTTTTTTTTTCACAAGAGATTCCCCATATGCTGAGTATAAGTCATGTATTTAAATATATTTGTAACTACACATTTATAACAATGAAGTTGCAATTTAATGCATTTAAAATATATTAACCTTAAATGTAATCTTTAAAAAAGTTTAAAAGATTAGTCATAACATCAAAATAAGTGCACTTCTTTAAAGTATGACTAAAGATTTTTAAAACAATTTCAAAAGTACTTCAAAGTAAAACTTTTAATTTGAGATTATTACAAAGCGTGCTTTTTAAAAGTGTACTTAAGTGTGTTAAGAAAAAGTCATGAAAGTGTCTCACTTTAAGTCACTTAAGTGGCCTTTTATTTTATATTATCAGTAAATACAGCTTTTTAAAAATACAGTAATAAGATTTGAAATACACTACAAGTGTGCATTCAATACAATTAAGCACACTTTTTTTTTCACAAGAGATTCCCCATATGCTGATTTAAGTGGCCCCTTTGCTATACTCTATACTGTATAGAGTATTATATAATACAAAATACTTTTATGTGTATTGAACATACTGTGTAAAACCTCAAGAGTAGCTGAAATCCAAAAATGTATCTAACAATATAACATGTTATTGACATGCCTAGTTTGACATGCACTTTGTCAGTGGGGATGATGATGCTGGGATACTGGTTGGCTGTGGGTGGAGGGGTGAGTCCTGTATTGGACGGGGAAGCGTCCAGCGGGTAGCACACTGCCTCCATCAGATTCAGCTGGCCGTTTCGCCGCACCTTATGACCAAGTCCATACACCATTAGCACACTTTTTTTTTCACAAGAGATTCCCCATATGCTGATTTAAGTGGCCCCTTTGCTATACTCTATACTGTATAGAGTATTATATAATACAAAATATTTTTATGTGTATTGAACATACTGTGTAAAACCTCAAGAGTAGCTGAAATCCAAAAATGTATCTAACAATATAACATGTTATTGACATGCCTAGTTTGACATGCACTTTGTCAGTGGGGATGATGATGCTGGGATACTGGTTGGCTGTGGGTGGAGGGGTGAGTCCTGTATTGGACGGGGAAGCGTCCAGCGGGTAGCACACTGCCTCCATCAGATTCAGCTGGCCGTTTCGCCGCACCTTATGACCAAGTCCATACACCATTACACGAGTCCAAGGGGCCTTATATAGAGAGGAACTAAGAGAAAAATACACATGTGAGCATATAGATCATTTAGACAGAAAACGGCCATATTTTGAAAATAAGTCTTGCACTATGCAAAACTCACTGCTTAATGAAAGCAAGATACAAAAACGGGTCATTCAATAATTTGCGTGCTTGTGACATCCATAGAGAAAACACAGCTGATGTTGTCTTGTCTCGGAGTTATAACTAGCTAAAATTATAATCTGTAAGAACTCACTCTTTGCGGCAGCTGAGTTGGCTCTCTTTGCAAGAGACGACCACAAAGGCGGCACCAGGGAAGTTCACGTCCATGCTGACCTTGGACTCTGAGATGGGAAACTCTTCCAGTGTGAACTGCTCTGGAGCGCTCTGAAATTTTAGCGATCATAAAAAAATATAACCACAAAAACAACTAATAATCATTTAACAGAGATTAATTTAACTTCCATATGTTTCTTAATGTACTTGTGTAACACAATTTTTATGTGAAATATAGTTTCACTTTAAAGTTGCACACACACACACACACACACACGTAGACACATGCAGACACGCACACACTCACACGCACACACACTCACACGTGCGCACACACATGCACATGCACACACACACACACACGTGCGCACTCACATGCACATGCATGCACACACACATGCACACACACACACGCGCACACACACACAGCCATATACACAAAAAAACATATACAAGAAGACACACGCACACACACATACACTCACACGTGCGCACACACATGCACATGCACATGCACACACACACACGTGCGCACTCACATACACATGTATGCACACACACGCTGACACACGCGCACACACATGCACGCGCACACACACACACACACACACACACACACACACACATGCATGCACACACACATGCACACACACACGCGCGCACACGCACGGCGCTTTATACAAAACAAATTGTTTCAAAGATGCTTTACATTAATAAACAGAAAAATAGCAGTTAGTGTTGTAAAATTTACCAATTATGACACAAATTCATCAAATGCAGCTGTAAATCAGCTCTAGAGTCTTCTCAACATTATTCAGCTCAAATCAATTCAAAGTTGATTCAATTTAGGTCAATAGCAATGTTGATGTTGCAAAGTTAGAGTCATTATTTTATAATAAAGTACATTTTAAATTATTGTTTTAATAATGGTTAATAACATGTAATAATAATTTGACTGTTGGATTCATTTAAATATCACAGAATATGATGTTTAATTTGCAATGAATATTTGCAAAGTAATTTATAATATTCTCAGTAATGCTCCAGTAATTGTTAAGATCTAAATTACAGTGTTTCTGATCACAAATAAAGAGAAAATAATATTAAGAGTCAAATAATAATTTTACTTTGTTTTATTTTTTTAAATTATCGTTAACTAAAACAAAAAACATTAAAAACATTTTCATTAGTAGAAATATAATAAACTAACTGAAATAAATGGTTACACTTTATTTTAAGGTGTCCTTGTTACAGTGTAATTATACATTTAAGTACTGAGTAATATTAATTAACTACATGTAGTTACTATATGGTTAGGGTTAAGTTCAGGGTTACTTGCATGTAATTATGCATAATTAATTGTTATTATAATAGTAAGTACATGTAACGTGTAACAAGGACACCTTAAAATAAAGTGTTACCTAATAAATATATATATATATATTTTTTTTCAGCTAGCTGCCAACATTTCTCATTACCGTTTAAAGTTGAAGTACCAAAATAAACTGAAAATAAAATCTTGAAAACTATATAGACAAACTTAAAAAAAATTTTTACTAAAATTTTAGTTAAAATTTAAATATATAAAATTAACATTTAATTTAAAATAATAACAAAAACTATAATATATTAAATTATACTAAAATAACACCGATCTCTTCGGTCAATCAATTTTATAAAATAAAAATCATAATTTTTAGAATAATAATGATAATAATAATAATGTATCCCTGCAGAGAAAAATGCACAATCGTGCACAGATCAGTTGTGAGGCGTTGGTACCTGCAGGAAGCAGCAGATCTGTTTAGTGAGCTCGAGGAGGCTGTCCTCTCCCTGATGCAGGGCTCTGCTGATGGCCACCGTCAGCCACTCGCGGATGCTCTGAGCGTGTCCCTGATAGAAGAGCTCGGTCGGGGAGCAGCTCTCGCCCTGCAGCTCGTGGAGGACGGACTGAGCCAGCAGAATAGAGTTTGAGCTGATTCTGCCATCTACAGACGCCAAGGCAAATCAACAAACACAGAAAAGTGAGTTTTGATTTTTTTTCCTAGTATGTATTAAAGGAACAGTTCACCCAAAAATTACAATTTGCTGAACATTTACTCAACCTCAGGCCATCCAAGATGGAGCTCGTTTCTTCATCAGATTTGGAGAAATGTAGCATTGCATCACTTGCTCTCTAATGGATGCTCTGTGGTGAATGGGTGCCGTCAAAATGAGAGTTGCTTCAGCTTTTCTCTTCTCCAGATGTTAACTGATGGACTGGAGTGGTGTGGATTACTTGTGATGTTTATATCAGCTGTTTGGACTCTCGTTCTGACGGCACCCATTCACTGCAGAGCACCCACTGGTGGCCAAGTGATGCAATGCTACACTGATGAAGAAACAAACTCATCCTAATCTTGAAAGGCCAGAGGCTGAGCACATTTCCAGCTAATTTTAATTTTTGGGTGAACTATTCCTAAATTTGGACCAAACAAGTTGGCCACCTGTGATGTATAACATCACCTGGCAGAGGCGGAGCCAGCAGCTGATTGGACAAGAGCTGCAGGTGCTCAAGTGTGATGTCGCGCACGGCGGGGATGTGGAAGAGACGTGTGAACGTGTGAGGGCTCTTGGGAGCAAAGATGTTGAGCAATGCCATGCGGCAGTAGAGACGCGCCAGAGCACTTTCACAGCGCAGCAGCTCCCTGAAACACACATACACACACAGTACTGAATGCTAATGAAAAATGGTGCTTAAAAAGGAGAACTCTCAGTAAAAACCTGATATTTCTGAATCGACAATAAGAAACGTGTCTCTATAAATGCATTACCGGTGAATCTGGATGTTGCTGCTGTCTAGAGACCCCAGGCCGTTCGCTGCAGCCCTGCGGGATCCTGCCGGCGGCCTCTCCAGCATCTCTATGGGGTACCAGTACCGAACTAACACGCCCTCACTGCGGAGATACGTCTCCACCTGCACCAGCTCACTGGCCTGAACACACACTCAAGGTCAGTCAAGTTTCTGATTTGTTGCATTTGAAAAAGGTGCAGGTTAAAAGGCTGGTGAATGTAACGATTATCACAGCCGGCAAAGAACAGGCACGGACTGTTTCAATGGTTATTTTCAAATAGATTTTTTTTTAATTCTAGTCAAATCCGACTTTGCTGATTTTTTGCTGATCAAAATTGCACAAACATAATAAATAAATAAATTTAAACCATAATATAATAATATTATACCATAATAAAATAAATGCAACCAAATGCACACAAGAGTCAATTGTTGTGAATATGCAAAAATTAAAATTTTAGTTAAAATTTAAATATATAAAATTAACATTTAATTTAAAATAATAACAAAAACTATAATATATTAAATTATACTAAAATAACACCGATCTCTTCGGTCAATCAATTTTATAAAATAAAAATCATAATTTTTAGAATAATAATGATAATAATAATAATGTATCCCTGCAGAGAAAAATGCACAATCGTGCACAGATCAGTTGTGAGGCGTTGGTACCTGCAGGAAGCAGCAGATCTGTTTAGTGAGCTCGAGGAGGCTGTCCTCTCCCTGATGCAGGGCTCTGCTGATGGCCACCGTCAGCCACTCGCGGATGCTCTGAGCGTGTCCCTGATAGAAGAGCTCGGTCGGGGAGCAGCTCTCGCCCTGCAGCTCGTGGAGGACGGACTGAGCCAGCAGAATAGAGTTTGAGCTGATTCTGCCATCTACAGACGCCAAGGCAAATCAACAAACACAGAAAAGTGAGTTTTGATTTTTTTTCCTAGTATGTATTAAAGGAACAGTTCACCCAAAAATTACAATTTGCTGAACATTTACTCAACCTCAGGCCATCCAAGATGGAGTTCGTTTCTTCATCAGATTTGGAGAAATGTAGCATTGCATCACTTGCTCTCTAATGGATGCTCTGTGGTGAATGGGTGCCGTCAAAATGAGAGTTGCTTCAGCTTTTCTCTTCTCCAGATGTTAACTGATGGACTGGAGTGGTGTGGATTACTTGTGATGTTTTTATCAGCTGTTTGGACTCTCGTTCTGACGGCACCCATTCACTGCAGAGCACCCACTGGTGGCCAAGTGATGCAATGCTACACTGATGAAGAAACAAACTCATCCTAATCTTGAAAGGCCAGAGGCTGAGCACATTTCCAGCTAATTTTAATTTTTGGGTGAACTATTCCTAAATTTGGACCAAACAAGTTGGCCACCTGTGATGTATAACATCACCTGGCAGAGGCGGAGCCAGCAGCTGATTGGACAAGAGCTGCAGGTGCTCAAGTGTGATGTCGCGCACGGCGGGGATGTGGAAGAGACGTGTGAACGTGTGAGGGCTCTTGGGAGCAAAGATGTTGAGCAATGCCATGCGGCAGTAGAGACGCGCCAGAGCACTTTCACAGCGCAGCAGCTCCCTGAAACACACATACACACACAGTACTGAATGCTAATGAAAAATGGTGCTTAAAAAGGAGAACTCTCAGTAAAAACCTGATATTTCTGAATCGACAATAAGAAACGTGTCTCTATAAATGCATTACCGGTGAATCTGGATGTTGCTGCTGTCTAGAGACACCAGGCCGTTCGCTGCAGCCCTGCGGGATCCTGCCGGCGGCCTCTCCAGCATCTCTATGGGGTACCAGTACCGAACTAACACGCCCTCACTGCGGAGATACGTCTCCACCTGCACCAGCTCACTGGCCTGAACACACACTCAAGGTCAGTCAAGTTTCTGATTTGTTGCATTTGAAAAAGGTGCAGGTTAAAAGGCTGGTGAATGTAACGATTATCACAGCCGGCAAAGAACAGGCACGGACTGTTTCAATGGTTATTTTCAAATAGATTTTTTTTTAATTCTAGTCAAATCCGACTTTGCTGATTTTTTGCTGATCAAAATTGCACAAACATAATAAATAAATAAATTTAAACCATAATATAATAATATTATACCATAATAAAATAAATGCAACCAAATGCACACAAGAGTCAATTGTTGTGAATATGCAAAAATTATTTAAGTCTTAATTTTCAAATATATATATATATTTGAAAATGATTTGAAAGACTTAAATAATTGTAGCATATTCACAACAATTGAATTTAATGATTTTTTTTGTGAAATTAGGCCTTTTTGTGAGGTTTATTATTATTATTATTATTATTTTATCTCACAGCAAAAAAAACAAGTCTGAACTATTTCAATGTTAAGAAAAAATATTTACATTTATAATGTTTAAAATTATAGTGTTTAAAATCTGCAGTATTTCACATTATCATCATTAAATCATGAGAATATTGTACAGCCTTATGCTCATTTCATTAGAAAAAAAGTCAAATCTGTATGATTCTCATTATATCCTAACGTTATCAAAATAAAAAATGAACAAAATAGATAAAATAAATAAAACTAGGAATAAAGCACAAAGGTGCATAGAGTCAATTGTCATTAATATGCAAAAAGTATTTAAATAAGGCTTAATTTACTCATATGTGTCGCTGGGGGATATTTGTAGCAATAGCCAAAAATACACTGTATGGGTCAAAATTATTGATTTTTCTTTTATGCCAAAAATCATTAGGATATTAAGTAAAGATCATGTTCCATGAAGATATTTTGTAAATTTCCTACTGTAAATATATCAAAACTTAATTTTTGATTAGTAATATGCATTGCTAAGAACTTCATTTGGACAACTTTAAAGATGATTTTCTCAATATTTAGATTTTTTTTGCACCCTCAGATTCTAGATTTTCAAATAGTTGTATCTCGGCCAAATATTGTCTCGATCCTAACAAACCTTACATCAATGGAAGCTTATTTATTCAGCTTTCAGATGATGCATAAATCTCAATTTCAAAAAATTGACCCTTATGACTGGTTTTGTGCTCCAGGGTCACATATAATTTCAATTTATGTAACGATATCTTTTTTTTTTATGAAATTTGGATTTTTTTGTGGGGTTTGGTAATTCTGTTAAACAGACTAAATTGTAAACCCTAACCTGACTGATGCAGATACTCACAGAGTCGACATCGAGCACGACTCCATGCAGGCCGAAGGTCTTCAGCATGCCCCGGATGGCAAACTTCGGCAGAGCTGTGCTGCTGCTGCTGTTGTTTCCCTCAGGGCAGCGGATGCCGACTGTCAAACCTGAGGGGAAAACAGTGACACTGTAAAAGCCGACTAAAAATTGTGAATTGTGAAAACTGTGAAAGTGTCATCTAACACAGAAAAGTGTAGAGAATCTCAGACAACGTGTGTTTCGCACAGACCTTTACGGACTTTGTCGATGGTGAACTTATTGGCTTCATCTTTGATATCCTCGATGGTTGGGAGGTAGAGGTCACGAGGAATACCTCCATTCTCTTCATACAGGAACTCGACAGTCTGCCGTGCGATATCCACCATTCCTGCCAGACATTACAGCATAATTCATATTAGACACATAGAGGAGACCTTGAAGTGTGCTGGATGTGCACTTGTAGCGTACTTCATGTTTAAAATTCTGTTTTAAAAAATTGTACTTGCAGATAATATAATATTAATGAAATAAAAGACCACTTAAGTGACTTAAAGAGACACCTTCATGACTGTTTCTGAACACACTTAAGTACACTTTTAGTGTACCTTTGTTATAGTATCAAAAGGTTTACTTTAAAGTACATTTTAAATCATTGTAATCATCAAGTACACTTCTTTTGATGTGTTGACGTGTGAAGTACTTGATTATCATTTTAACTGTACTCTGTTATTCAATATTAAAGCTAATATAGTTGAAATGTACTAAATTGCAACTTCATCATCACAAACAGGTTAAAATACATGATACAAGTTCCAAAAGAAATGTCATTAAAGTATATTTTAGTGTATCATAAATGCTCGCCAGTACATTCAGCAGCACTTTAACCATATTTCAAAAACAGTAGAAGTAATTATGAAATTACATATAAATATGTACTGAAGTCCTACTTAAGTGGGTCAAAAAGCGCTTTAAAAGTTCAGCTAAATGCATTTGATATCATTTTAAATTATAATACATTTTCAATCTATTGCAATTAAAATGCAATTAAGTGTCTGAAAACATTACATTCATTTTGCATTCAGTATGTTCTTTTAAAGTACATAAGTACTCTTTTTTAAAAGTATGCCATTGCAAATTAAACACTCACCCAGCTGAAGCGCTCCTTTGATCTGGTCCAGGCCGGACTTCCTCTCTGCCTCGTTCCTGAAACGACGGCGAATGGTTGGAAAAACTTTGCTTTCCCACGCTTTCACTAGCAAAGCGTAATGATCCTCCTTTACAGAGAGAAGGCAAGAGAAAGAAACAGGTTTTCTTTGAAAAGGCAGCTCGGAGTCACTGTGTGAGTGGTGTATAATGTGTGTCAATGGCTTGTGAGGAAGTTAAGGGCCTGGTTATGAGCTCTTCATACCCTGGGAATATCTTCATCGTCTTCATCATCGCTCTCATCATCAGCAATCAGAGGCGGATGAACGTTTGGCCCGGAGACGACCAGATTCTCATAACTCAGTTCAACCTTATAGTGACAAGAGGCATCGCTGCTGTACTCTGTGAATAAAACAAAATAATAAGGTTTAACCCACATGAATAACATCTGCTTTACTGATTCAGTCAGATAATTCATTTTATTCTATAGTAGGAGGGAAAAAATTCAAAAGATTCTAACCAAAAATTTGGAATAATTAAGATTTTTTTAGAATGTTTTTGAAAGAGTCTCTTCTGCTCACCAAGGCTGCATTTATTTGATCAAAAATACAGTATAATAACATTTCAATGTTTTTTTTTTTTATTCAAAATTTTGATTGTGATATATTTCTGAATGTAATGTATTTCTGTGATGCGCAGCTGTATTTTCAGCATCATTACTGCAGTCTTCAGTGTCACATGATCTTCAGAAATCAGTATAATATGCTCCTTAAGAAACATTTCTGATTATTATCAATGTTGAAAACAGTTGTGCCGGCGAATATTTTTGTGGAAACCGTGATACATACTACCATTCAAAAGTTTGGGGCTTATACGAAATCAGTACTTTTATTTAGCAATGACGCATTGATCAAAATTGACATTAAAGACATTTATAATGTTATAAAATATTTCAAATTAAATGCTGTTCTTTTCAGCTTTCTATTAATCAAATAATCCTGAAAAATAAAAATGCATCAAAGTTTCCACAAAAACATCAGGCAGCACAATTGTTTTCAACATTGATAATAATCAGAAATGTTTCTTAAGCGGCAAATCAGCATATTATACTGATTTCTGAAGATCATGTGACACTGAAGACTGGAGTAGTGATGCTGAAAATACAGCTTTGATCGCAGAAATATATTACATTTGAACAGACATTCACCTAGAAAACTGCTATTTTAAATTGTAATAAAATTTCACAATTTTACTGTTTTTACTGTATTTTTGAGCAAATAAATGCAGCCTTGGTGAGCAGAAGAGAGTTCTGGTCCTTGATTCTGATTGACTGAGCCGTGTTCTAAGCTGTTGTAAATTACTCTACAAACATACAGCTTTGTTTACATTTGTGTGATGCTCGGCAACCTCCGCTTCGCGTCGTGCCTAACAACGCCATAAATTCAACAATAAATTCACTGTAAACCACGGCTTCTTGCGGCTCATTGCTTTATTGTTCCAAAGCTTTGACCGGTACTGTACACGCACACATCTTTTTTGCTCTGAAACGTTGAAAAAGTTGAAAGTCTGAAAAGTTAATATTTTGGACTCAGCTGAGTGGACACTGACGCTGCTGTGCTGTGACGACCGCAGCGATGCGACACGGGGGACCGTGAGACCCGGAGTCAGACGCCACGCTCGTGCCGGCGTCGTTGTCGCTGTCGGAGGCCAAGGCGAAGGGCAGAGCCTCGAAGTTGGCGCTGATCTCCTCTGAGAGGTCCATGCAGAGATCGGCGGCGTTTCGGTGAGCCTGTCCCTCTGCATACGCAAACAACCGGCAGCCGAAGTTTGCGTGAATCTTTGTATTCTGAAACAGAGAATCACAACAACTACATAAGCACATTTTTGGATGCTTAAACCAATCATAAAAACAGATGTCACTGAATATCCCAGAACTGCAGAACCCAGGAAAACATATAATATTGATGAGTAGATATGACGCATTATATCCTATCAGGTGCCCTTCATTCTTTATTTACACTCTGCAATCTGAAATGCATTTGTCCATTTTACTTATTTGTCTTTTTGAACATCTTTTTGTCTTTCCATCTAATTTATAATCTCTCCTTTTTATTCATTCGCTGTATTGGGTGTAACAGTCAATGCTGTTATTCTTAATTAGGGTTGGGTATCGATCCAACTCCGATTCTGCTTATCGATTCCAATGTGGTTAAAAAAAAAATTCAAACATTTAGATGTCAAAAATATATGTGAGCCTGGAGCACAAAAGCAGTGTTAAGTCGCTGGGGGATATTTGTAGCAATAGCCAACAATACATTGTATGGGTCACAATTATAGATTTTTCTTTTATGCCAAAAATCATTAGGAGCGTACATTAAAATGACAATCTAAAATGTTTCTTGAGCAGCAAATCAGCAAATCAGAATGATTTCTGAAGATCATGTGACACTGAAGACTGGAGTAATGATGCTGAAAATACAGCTGCACATCACAGAAATACATTACAGTTTAACAGATATTCACATAGAAAACAGCTACTTAAAATTGTAATAATATTTCACATTTTTACTGTTTTGACCCCTAAGACATTAACCCCTAGCAAATACATAAGCATACAGTATCCTAAAGGAAATTGTTTTTTTTTTGGTATGTCATTGAATAATCGCAGAACCCAGGAAGATAATTATGACTCGTAATAATCATGGTCTGATCCTTTTTAGGCTAGCAAGTGCTCTTTACACTCCGCGATTTATGAAATTTCCATATTTTTTTTTGTTATTTGTCAATTTAACATACATCTTTTTGTTCCATATTTAATTTTCCATCTAATTCATAATCTCTTCTTGTTTTATTGGGTATATCAGCCAACAGAGACTTTCATGACTGTTTCTGAACACACTTAAGTACACTTTTAAAAAGTGATCTTTGCATTGATGTCAAATTAAGTTTGTCATTAAAGTACATTTTAAATCATTATATTTTAATAATCTTTTGTCGTGTTTTAAAGTGCACTTATTTTGATGTGTTGACTTACATACTAAAGCATTTGTTACTAAAGTACTTAATTATCATTTTAACTGTAGTGTGTTATTCGATCTTACATTTAAAATTAATATATTTATATTTTATCTTTAAAATAACTGCTTAAATTTAAATTGTATTATTCATTAGTTATTATATTGGGTATAAAAGCCAGTGTTGTTACTGTTAATAACAATATTAAAATATTAAAACTATAAAAAAATTATAAATTTTAACTAAACTATAAATTTTAACTATAAAAAATGTAAATAAAGTTAATTTAAATAAAGTTTATAATATAAATATTAGTTGAAAAGCTTTAACTTAAAAAAACTTTTGCCTGACAACTAACTGAAATAAAATATGTTGAAGTATAAAAATTACTAAAATATAAATTAAAGCTAAATAGAAATATTAAAAAAAGAAAAAAACACTACAACTTAAAATGAAATTAAACTGACAGTATAAAAATAAAAATAAATACTACTATAGTATGATACAAATTTCTTTATTTCTTTATTTAGCACATTTTCAGGCACTTTTTTCCTTCTAGAAATATCCAGTTTAACCTACAAATGGACTAAAACCATTTAGAATCATCTTGAACTTAGTTATGAGCACCACTGGTTTGCTTGTAATGTATCATATTTGTGTGCAAACCTTCTTCTGAATGTGGACCACAGGCCACATGCCTCCGGCCACGTCCTCCAGATAAGGAGCGAGACGCTGGCCGCAGTAGGTGAAGTAGACTCTGCCTTTAGGAGGCTGGCCGGGGGGAGGAGGAGTGCCTTCCAAACGCTCCCAACCGATGCCTGCAACATCACCTGAGTCCAAACACACCACACAAACCATCACCACAGCAGCTCAACAACTCTATACACATCCATGCACATGAAAATATTCATATAACTTTGTGAGCGATTATATATGGTGACCATGGAGCACAAAATCAGTCATAAGGTTACATTTTTCGAAATTGAGATTTATGCATCAGCTGAAAGCTGAATAAATAAGCTATACAACTACTGATTTTAATAATGTATTAGTAAATGTTGGAATCAACATTAACTAAGAATAATAAATGCTTTAGGAGTATTTTTCATTGTTAGTTTATGTTAACTAATGAAGTTAACTAATGTTAACAGATGGAGTCTTTTTGTAAAGTGTTACTGACTTAATTGGTAATTTTGCCTCTCAAGTAAAGTATCATGTATCTTGATTTAATAATGTTTCAATATTTGTGGAAAACAAAAATACAAGACAAAAATACAGAGAAAGAATTATAATTTTTTGCACACAGCTGAGGAAGTCGAGGCAATTATCAATCAATAATCATCATGCTCCTACACAATCTTAACACTCAATTTCAGCTCTTTAAACAAATTTCAGTTTATAATGATCACTCCAGTTCATCAGAACAAATTGACAACAGAAAAAAAGGCAAACGGAAAGCATTAGTTATAGGAGTTAAAGAAAAGCCCAGGCCGACTGTCGCGAGAAAGAACTCTCCCTTTAACAGTTTCAAACGTAGCTTCCCCAAAAGCTGGCTTGAACAACGTAATGTGCTTGCAGTTGATGGCTGAATGAATAAAGTCGGTCCTGTCTCACCGGGAAGTAGAGTCACGTCTAGTCTCACACTCTTCCACTGCAGCAAACTGGAGCCATTATAGTGTACCGCCCTCCCATTACTGAGCGGGAGAGAAACAACAACAAGGACGACACGTAAAAAGAAAAGAGTTAGGATGGGAAGCAGAGAGAGGAACAGAAAGAACAGGTTAAGAGTCCAGTGAACGTGTTAAATGGAGCGGGTCAGTACTTGTGGAATAGACAGGTGCCCACAGGACTGGTCCAAGCGCCGTCTCTCTTCTCGGCCTCCGGGGAGAAACCGAACGAAACCACAGGGCCGCTGTCATCCTCCGAGTCGCCGAAAGAAACAACCTCGATCTCCCAGTAAAAGGAAGGAGCCTGGAAACCAGAAAGAGAGAAAATGTGAGCTAGACGTAGAGAAGCTGGTAAGATTTTCTAAAGTCTCTTCTATTTGAAAAACAGTAAAAACAGTAAAATTGTGAAATATTATTAGAATTTAAAATAACTGTTTTCTATGTGGATATATTGTAAAATGCGATTTATTTTTGTGACGCAAAGCTGCATTTTCAGCATTATTACTCCAGTCTTCAGTAGACGTCGACCGATGTATCGGTTTTGCCGATTAATCGGCACCGATAGTTGACCAAAACTCACGCAAGCAGTGTTAATTTTGACAGCATATTTTGATTTAGTTTTAGTCATAGTCTTTTGACTAAAATGCCATTTAGTTTTAGTCATATTTTAGTCATCTGAATTGTTTTTAGTTTTAGTCTAGTTTTAGTCGACTAAATTACAGTAAATTTAGTCGGCTAAAATCGAATGGGTTTAGTTACAGTGTAATACATTTATTAAGCATTTCTCCAAAAATTTCCAAACTTATTATATAGGTTTGATATTAAGGTTTTATCATGATAGACACCGATTTAACTGCGGTGACACACAGCATGCCTTTATGTTAAAATTAAATAAAACCACTTCTCATAAAGAACAAGAACATGCTCTACTTTTTAATGAAATACCAATGGTTATATAGGCTAATTATGCATTCTTTATAGCAACTTGTTTACCATATTCTTAATTCTTTCAAGCAGACATATTTATTTCTATAAATACATT